AGCATTATGGGGGAGGGTGGGATGGAATTGTCTTGTCACCCTTCAGAGTGGCCAGGACTTTCAGTAAAACAGAGGATGGTGGGAACTGTGAAGACTCTGGTGACTAGCTCCTCCCTGCAAAGGGGACAAGACTTAGAACACACAGAGCCCTTTCTACAGTGCCCGGGGCATGCTCCTGTTTTTATTCGTTCTGTTTTCCTCTAATGAATTCTGTCAGGCAACAAGAGCTTCCCTCCCAGGCCCATTGACAAAGGCCCAATGGCCATTTGGCAGCTTTGCAAGGGTCCTGGATAGAGATTTGTGCAAGATCCAGGGCTGAAATTTCCTTCCGCTTGCTCACTTGCTCATGTCATCCTGACATCACCATTCAGTATCTGTTTGCTGGGATATGTAGATGAAGAGACAGGGTCAGAAAAGCTAGACCATGTCCTTGCTGCATTCTGCCAAACTCAGCTTGATTTGATATTAGAACTGAGATTTACATGGAGATCTTTCCTGACCTGAGATCTTTTTATTCTGTGTAGGGATAGTTATGCAATGTCGAGGATCTCTTTTCAAAGGAAAATCACAGGGTCTCTTGAGCAAATAGAAAAAGAGGGAGGGGATGCAGAAAATTCTAGAACAGCTGGAGATATAGCTCAGTTGTGAAGCAATTGCATAACTTGCATGAGGCACTGGATTTGATCCCTAGTATTAACAGGAAGGAGGCACCAGGAAAGAAGGATGGAAGGACACAAACAGAAAGGAAGGAAGGAGGGAGGCAGGGAGGAAGGAAAGAAGGAAAGGAAGAAGGAAGGAAGGAAGAAAAGAAGGAAAATAATTGGTCATAGCATGTACAACTTTCTGCTTTACTTCATAGTCTCTATCTGTGTCTCTGCCTGTTTCTCTCTGTGTGTCTCTATCTGTCTCTCTGTCTCTGTCTCTCTCTCTCTCTTTCTCTCTCTCTCTCTGCGTGCGTGCGTGTGTGTGTGTGTGTGTGTGTGTGTGTGTGTTTTTTCTCTGGCACCTGCATGTATGGACTATTTGATTCTTTGGAACAGTGTTTTTTGTTTTTGTTTTTGTTTTTTAACCCTGAAAGAACCTCACAGGGACCATGGCCCTCATGGTCCTGCCCTTTACCTCAAATGTTCATCCCACCTGTTGCTAGGGTCCTCCTGACCCTAGCTGCCAGTGATGCCCTACCAAGCTAGCATATTCATCTCATAAATCTGTTGCTCCATCCCAAGCTATGGTAAACTCCACAATGGCCGGTGCTTGGTACCTAGAGTGGGCTGGGGGCATGTTCCCACTCAGGGTTCCTCACTTCACTATGGCACTGCAAGCAAGGGGTGTGGCAACTGCCACCAGGAAATGACTTGGGTTCTGCTCCTGACCCCAATTCTTCCAGGTGTAGAGGCTAACAGTGGTCACTAGGTGGTCTAAGAACACCGAGTCAGGACGGGGCCACCAGAAAGCAAAGGGTAGATGCAGAGAACCCTGGGAGGAGAAGTTAGTGTAGGAACTGAGGTTCCAAGCCTCATACCCCAGTGTCGTGGAGGACTTTACTTACACAACACAAATTAAAAAATTATTGAGGGTTTCAAGATGCCACCATAGAGCATTCAGCCAGAATGTGGTGCCTTTCTGAGTATGGGGATCCTGTGTGTCTGCTCTAGTCACTTAGCCCAAGGAGTCGGCTCTGCGCTATGATGAAGTAAATAACTGCAAATAAAAAACACCCGAGCCTGAGGTCCTTATGTATGGAGAATACAATTTACATAATAAATCAGTATGTGATTATATGCTACATTCAGCTTTCTGTATAGTTACTTTGCAAATTATTGAGCAAATAATTTGCAGATAAATCCCTGCCATCCAGCTCTCCCAGTCCCCAAATTAATTTAAGAAGGTGAGGGAAGACGCGCAGTTTTTCATGCACATACCTTTTTCTTAGTGCAAGGCACATGGGAAACCAACAGAGTCAGCTCTGGTATGAAAGCCAGAGGGTTGAAGGAAAATCAGTGTGCTTGAGTTGAAAAATGGGTCAGAAATTGAGAGGGAGGAGTGGGCCAGGCTGTCAGTGTGGGTAAACTGGCTGGCACTGGAGAAAGAGTACCTGGCCACCTGGCGAGAGAATGGAAACTGGGATTGGAATTACAGAGGATTTTAGCAAGAGCCCATCCCAGAGGGGGATGAGAGTTCTTGGATGAGGCAGAGGAAACAGCTCACTCCTCCAGGGCTCTGTGGGTGGATCTGGGCTGCACAAGCCATTAAAGCCCTACCCTGCTGCTCGTGCCTTGTTCTAGTTCTGATTGGTGCTAAAACCTGACCCATTATGTCCCAGCAATTTACAGCAATATTTCCCACAAACGAGAGGATGTTTGGCAAGTTGCTCAAGTCCCTCATCCAGGTCAGGGGGCTTGTGATCAGTAAGCAAATGATAGTAGGGGACAGCTGGGTTGCTCCCTTAAAAGTGGTGGTTCTTGGGTCTTTTATTGAGTTCTTTTTTCACATCCTCTTCCAGGCTTGGTGGCTTCCCTTGGCTCCAAAAACCTGAGCAGAGACACTGGTCCATGCTGCTCAGCTATCCCTTCCCCCTTGCACATTAACTGCTTTTATTTGCAAAACAGGAACCTAAACACAGGTTGGTATTATCAGCCAGTTGAAATATAAGCTGTCTAAATGGTTCCTTGAGCCAGCAGAAAGGACTGTCTGCCTGGGACGAAGGGAACATAGCTGAGGGACCGCACTTAGCCATCAAGCTGCTGTTGTAAATATTTGCCGACACTCCTTCAGGGCTAGAAAGTCTGGGACAGGATCATTTGGAGATTTGCTTAGAAGAAGTAGAAACAAAATTGACCTCACGGTCTGAGGCAGCCATAAAAAGGAAATGCGTGTGTATGGGCAGAAGACCAGAAAGGGGGGGAAATTGTTCAGAGTTTAATAAACACAAAGGAGAATAAAAATAAATCTGGGAAGCACTTATTTACAAACTTGATGAAGGAGAAGATTGTGGCAGAGGGGTGTGAAAGATGGCTGTTTGTGGAAGCAGAATGAGTCTGGAGGGGCTCCATGCAAAGGAAGGAGCAGGGGAGAAAGGAAGATGTTTACACTGGCTAATGACAGGAAACACACAAAATTGGCCTTGCTCTTCCAGGATGTGCTTTCAAAGGATGTTTGAAGCCTCTGCTGTCTAACACAGAGGATAAGTGAAGATGGATGGGGCCATGCCTCCTGTGGAAGGTTCTGGCCAAGAGGGTGTGGAAAGCCAGAGAGCAGGGCCTGAATTCTGCCAGCCTGGCTGGCTCTGCCAGGGCGACGGAACTGTTTTCAGCTGTTCTGTTCAGCACGAGATTAGGAGTCATGATTGCTGGGATGGGTATATTCCAAGCAAAGGAAAGTGAATGTTGTCTCAGCAGCAACCCTATAGAACTGCTGTGCTCGGGGACTCCAAAGACTGTCCTGTTTGGTCGGAAGGCTTCCTGCCATCTCTTCCACAGAGGGCCATCACAGTGTCTCAGCCAATACCTTCATTTCTCCAAAACCTGCTTATTTTGGATTTGTGGGGTTGTTTGTTTGTTTGTTTCTGAGAGTTCTGGTTTGGCAGGTATAAAGCCTGGATTCATAGGGCAACTTGGAATTCATGAGCCTGAATTTGCAGTCTCAAGGATATGGGGAGAGATAAGAAAAGGCTCCCATGAGGCAAAAACTGCAGACCACCTAAAGATGAGGAGCTTGGGTTTGTTTCTAGCTACCCTCACTCCAGTGTAACTGTCAGGGATTCAGGAGTGGTATTTATATTTGCTTTAAGATTGACAAGATGGCTCATTTAGGATTCCCATTGATGATCAACTATGCAAACAGATCTTTGTGGGACTCAGTGCATTCACAACCCTGCACTGAATATGTAGGAGGTGGGAGGGAAAAGAAACTCCTTGCAAATAGCTTCTACTTTCCAGATTTTTAAAATTGCACAGGGGAAAGCAAAATAAACAAACGCAATGCAGAAGCAATCAACACATTTAGAGAGAAACATAACTGTGAATGATTATGTTTTAATAAGGCCCTGTGGATGTACAAAGGGCAGAAAGAAGAGAGCTTCTAGATATTCTGAAATGGGAAAGGTAAATGTATAGGAAAATTTTGCAAGGTTATAGAAACATACTCAAAAGCCAGTGGTCTGTTGGTGTTCAATGAATGTGGGAGGTGGGATCAGAGAGGCAGGACAACTTGCTCAGGTCTTAGGATAACCTCAATTTCATAGTCAAGGGCAAAATTCTAAGCAATGCACGAACTTGAAATTGTTGCGTACTATGGACCACAAATGCTATTTTCCACAAGGCTCTAAATTAAAGAAATTAGTGTTTTCTTCTTATTTCAGAGCTAGGATCACCTTCTACCTACCTACAGAGTATGTTACCCACCCCCCAAAATTTGAGGGCTGGACCTTGTGGATAGTTTGTGGGTCAGTTTTTCTTTTTCAGAATTCCTTATAACTTGGTCATATGCATGAAAACCCAAACTTTAAGAGTAAAAATAACGACTCAGTCTATGAGGCTGAATATGAGTGGAATATTTGGAGTGAAACTTTCAAGGAAAAAAAACACACACAGGCAGAAAGCTTGCCATTTAGGAGCTATTTTCTTGGCATATCTGATTAAAGCGTATGCTAGCTCGGCAGCTCTCTTCAGCCATCAACTGTCATGAACTTGTTCCAATTCGTAACCATCTAGGGTTTCCCACTGGTCTGTCAGCCTTCAAAAGACAGGGTTAACTGCTTGCTTTCAGACATGGTTGGAAATGGTTTGTTAATCGTTCTTAATCTGCTTCTCCTGGAACTAAACACACATGTTGATTTTCGTTTTGTTCCTGGTTAAATTGTTAATGGTATTAAATTGGCCATTGGAAATGAAATTCTGAGGCATTTCCCATATGGCTCCTTGGGACTATCTCACACTGTGGTCTTTCTTGAGAGCATGGTGGGTTTAATCTTTCTCAACCATTTCCCTAACTTTTTACAGATGCCATCCCGCCCACTTTCTACAGACCCTACTTCAGAATCGTCCGCTTCGATGTCTCAACGATGGAGAAGAATGCTTCTAACCTGGTGAAGGCAGAGTTCAGAGTCTTTCGTCTACAGAACCCCAAAGCCAGGGTGGCTGAGCAGCGGATCGAACTGTACCAGGTAACCTTTGGGTTGTGTCAGCAGGTGAAATACTTTCTACCGTTAGGAGTTTCTTCTACACACCTGTGTGATCTGAGTCCTGCTTTGTTATTAGTCTTACTGAAACAGCCCAGCAAGGAAGAAACAGAATCGAGAACCAGCACTGTACACCCTCTCTTTTGACTGGCGCATTCACCTTGGGAGACTTTAGTCCTTAGGTCAGGCCTGTCATCTGTAAAGTCAGAATGCCTAGGTCAGACACCCCGGCCCCCCACCCAGAGCAGGGCAGCTGAGCCGAGATCTCCTCTTTCCTCAGCCCCTTCCTCTCTGCCTTTCCTCCTCATCTCCTGTTTACCACAACCTGTCTCATCCCTCACCCGACTGCTAGCTGCTAACCTATCTATCCCTCAAGACATCTAGCCCCCACCACCGGCACATGCTGTCCTACGTTGTGCCAGCCGCCCTGATCTCTCCCCTCTCCCCTTGTCAGGAGAGCTACTGGGTAGCTGTTTGGAACACAGATGAAGAATGGGGCCCCTGAGATTTCAGACACTGACTCTGAACCAAGCAACTCAGGTGAAGTCTGTGCGGCTGAGACTTGAGTGGCCTAGGAGTTATGAGAAATGCAGACACCCATTCTCTACCCACTCCATTTTAAGGCGCTCCCTGGGTAATCCATATGCACTATGAAACTGTTCTCTAAAGCCTTGCATCTGGTGAGGAAGACAGATGTGCAAACATACAGTTTAAATGTTATCATGTCCCGTGAATAGCTTGTGCAGGTGCAGAGGGCAGAGCCTGGGAACTCTTAGCAAGGAGCTGGTGCTCAAAAGAGGCTTCCAAAAATGTCTTAAAGTATATTAAAACAAGGTAAGGGGTCATTCTGAGCAGAAGCAGCAATGTAGTGACAGGCATTAATACTTACTTAGTAGTATGTATTTAGTTTTGCAGTGCTAGGGATCAGGCTCAGTGCCTTGTGTGTTGGGCAAGCACTCCACCACTAAGATAACCCATCAGCTCCCAACAACAGCATCTTGGTGGGCTTATTGAATGCACCCAGGAGAAGGTGTTCTCATAAGGAAGAGGCAGGAGAAGGTGGCTTCCAAGCAGAGCAGAGACATAATGTAACAGAGAGACAGAAGAAGACTAAGGACAGATTCTTCCTTTAGTGTTGAGCAGTATGATTCATTGGTGGGCTTGCTTGAAATGTAGGTTCTTGATCATTGGCATCCACGACACTGGCAACATTCATTTGTATAGGGAGCAAAGACACACAGCTTTAAGGCACCAAGAACTTACCATGAGAGTGTGTCTCTCTCCAGTGAATTTCATCAGAAGTCTTGACAGGAGGAGAACTAAAGCCACCCTCTCATTTTCTCCGACCTTCTTCCTTCTCTGTTCAACATAGTTTCTAAAGGATTCAGCTCTCCCAGGCTTGAAGGAAACCATGAAACAGAGGCTCAAACATAAATCATTTATATTCATTTGATTTTTCACTTCAAGCTCTAGAATGTATTAAACTTTTATATTTGGGGATGGGATGGAGAGTTGCTGTTTGTGGAGAAAAATAACTGAACCATTTTAGTAGAGAGAACAAGTCATTCCCTACCTAAGTTCATCTATATAAGACCCTGAATGTGCATCTCTGAGGCTTTAGAGTGAAAGCTAGGGATGTTGGGTGGCCTAGACCTGAGATGTGAAAGTAGGGGCTCCTAGCTACTGTAGGGAGAACAGTGCAAATGGAGTTAATGAAAACTGCCCCATTCTTCCCCACCCACTGTGTGTATGTGTGTGTGTGTGTGTGTGTGTGTGTGAGAGAGAGAGAGAGAGAGAGAGAGAGAGAGAGAGAGAGAGAGAGAGATCTCAGCTTTCATTTCTCATATTGCCCAAGGGAATGTAAAATAAAAAAGAGGTCAGCCAGAAAACCTGACTGTCTGTTAAATTAGACTTGCAAAATATGCTACTGGAAAAAAAAAAGTTATACTGTGCTCCTGTTGTATGGAATTTTACAACACACAATCCCCTTAAGACTGACCTCACCTCTGGCGCCACGTTGGAGACATACACAGCATAGTAACCATTTCATCCCCCCTCCAAAACAAATAAACAAACAAAACAGCCATGATGCATAAAAAAAGTACTCTTTGCACAAGGACATCAGTATCTCAGGGTTTTTCAAAGTGATCAAATAGCATGCCTGCCTCATAAGGAGACTAAATTGTTATCATTTCCATTAAGTCACGACACTGCTGGGCGTCAGCTAGTCTCATGAGTAGACAGGACTCAGAAACTCATGTGGACACTGATCCTTCCTGACCATATTAAAAAACAAACAAACAAAAACCTGATCATGCAATAGTAACTAATAATGCTATTACTCCCTTTTTCATAATGTAACCCAGGAACAATAGAACAAAATTGGTAATTATTATTAACATATACAGTATTCACTGTGTGTTGCACAATGCTGTAACTGCTCTCTCTCCTAGTGTGCATGTGTGTATAAAGAGCCATTCACTCTTTATAAAACACTTATAAAAAGTACGTAATGCAATCTTCTGTATGTTATAAACAACAACACTGGAGCCTGTTGAACTTATTGACTTTCTTGGCCACTGGGTTAGAGGAGGGCCATGCCTGGATTTCCACCCAGGCTGTCTGGCTCCAGGAGCCATATTCTTGACCTCTTCTCCTTATCAGCAGAAAGCACAAGGCTGTGGGGTTGGGACCATGTGTGTAGAAGGCAGAACTTTGTCCCCTTGGGATCCCAAGGAAGCCCTGTGGTGGGAACTATTTGCAAGTTGGTACAATACAAGCACCTTACTTGATGGACATTTGCCAGGTACAGGGTTCATGCACAGAAACCTTGCACAGGCTGTGTCTTCCTCACAACTACCCTTGTAGATTCCCAGGCATCCTTTGGAATGCTTGTAGAACAATATCCTTACTTTACAGATGGTTTCTGCATGTTATAAATAAAAGCTTGAGCACTGTAGTCCCTATTTCAAGGGTCTGGTTCTTGATTTGTCCCCCATGAGTTTACCTCAGGGCTTCCTTGAAGAACATTTTCTACAATGTCTGCTCAAGTGCCATTTAGATGAGAGAAGAGGAGGAGCTTCATAGCCAGTCTGCCCTGGGTTTGCTTTTGCTTCCTACCTTTTCCATATTTGCTTTGGGATCTGGCAGATCCCTCTTCTCTCTGAGCCTTTACATCATGAACTGCAGGGAAAGGTTTTCTTGAGTGAGGTAATGGACCTTCCAAGTGTGGCAAGTCGGAAGCAGGAGTGGACCACTGTCTGGATTTTACTGGCCTCCTTGGAGAGGAGGGGGGAGGATATTTCTTCTACAACTGGCTTGTGATTAGAAAATGGCTGCCATGCTGTCCATTATCTCTGGTTCGACTTGGTCTGATCTGTTTCCTATCATAAGAAGAGCAGAGTAGGGTAATGGAGTTGCCCATCATTTATGTTATTTTGTGACTTGTTTGCTTGAATAAATCTCTAAGGACAATGAATGGGATGGGGGTTGTGATGTGTCTTTTTGAAGAATTACTAGAAAGTAATCAAATAAGTGGGGGCAATCCTTTACCTCATCCCCTAACCCCTCACTACTGCTTCCTGGCCCACCATCAGACACAGAGATTTTTCTATTTCAGATTGATTTTTAATTTTTTTTGTGTGTATGAGTGGGTGCCTACATGTGTGCATGTTACCACATGTGCTTGGTGCCTGCAGAGGCCAGATGAGGACATCGCAATCCCCAGAAGTGGAGTTTTAAAAGTTTGTGAACCTCCCAATGTGGATATTATGAACAGAACATGGGTTCCCTGGATCCTAACCTCTGAGATATCGCTATTGATTTTATTTTTAAACTGTCACAGTTCTTGTGGAGAGTTTAGACTCTCCACGATTGTGCTGGCTCTGGTTTTCAATTAGACATGAATTTAGGCTTCTCCAGTCTCCTTCAGTGGCCATACTTGTCTGAAAAGTGCTGCTTTCTACCTTAGACTACTATGAAGTCCCATATGCTGGTCCCTAGACTTCCTTACCCACTCTCTACTCACTCCCTGCTAAGGCTTGGGTCTACTCTTCTTTCTACCCACAATGCACTTCTAGAGCTATCAATGTGCCTGGCTCCCTTCAGTCCCTTAGGTCTGTGCCCATCTGTGACTTGCTGGTGACTTTGTGCCCTAACCTGTCTGTCATCTCAGGGTCCCTTTCCAACAGAGCCACCTATGCCCTCAGCTAACTTTTATTTTGATGCTCTTCATCACCAAATGTCCTTCGCCTTGTGGTCACTCTGTCTTCATGTTGGCTTTCCTTTCCCCCACTACTCTTGCCTGCATAATGAGAACTTAGTAGCTGCTTTCATAACAAGGTCATTGTTAAAAATAAGTGTGTGACATCATAAAGGGTCCTTAAGAACCATTACTCAGTCCTTTAGCTTTGGAAAATGTCCTGCAATGGTTTTAAAGATCTCTCTCTCTCTCCAACTATTTATGGAGAAAGAAATGTACTTACCTACCCATTTTCTGTTGTTTCTTTAGCAATTGGCAAAGTAGATAATAACAACATAGGCTTAAAAAAAAATAAGATCCTATAACAAGTTAATGGAATTGATACTCTTGGGTTTAGGAATGGTTTGTCCCTTAATGGCTCATGCATTTAAGGCATGGTCTCTAGTGGAAGGGTGTTGACAAGTGTAGAGCATTGAAGAAGTGAGGCATAGTGAGAAATTAGAGCCTTGAAGGAAGATCCTTGACAGTGGTTAATTTCTGAGTTGTAGTGGGGATAAGGTCTAACGAAACTGACTTCTCCCAAAAGTGGCTTGTGATGAGTCAGGTCCAAAGGGTGCCCAACTCCCCCCAAAAGAGCAGGCCCACTGACTTGATCCAAAATTGAGTCTAAATTCAAGCTGGACTACAGAAAGATTTCTGGTGGCTAAATAAAAATCAGCATTTCCTAGGAATGTGACAAAGGGACTCCCATCTAACAAAGGGAGCCACTTCCCTTACCTCTGGA